TAATTTTAAAATGCTTCTTGCCTCAGTTTACTCATTTAGAAACTGTATAGAAAATATTAATTCCACATCTCTTCAAAGGCTGAATTACCTAATTGAAAAATTACAAAAATGACTCAGGTGGGTCAAACATTGAAGGATATATTAAATTCACAATCTGATACAAACTTGTCCCAATAAAAACTATTTTAAAATCCGAACAATTATCATTCTTTTTCTTCTCTGCTATAACTTACTAATAAAGTCAAGAAGAATGACACTTGCTTTTAGAAATGAATACTAAGAACGAACAGAACTTTGTATGTGATAGAAAAAAATGACTTATCTTTACTGGATAATTTTGGAAGCTAAGGAAAGACCCAAGAATGACATGAGGTTGACAAGCTGAGGAAAAAAAAAAGGATAATGTATATAGCATTTTTCATGATAGAAACCTAATGTTCCCATTTATGTTTCTGTTTGTTTTCAAAAACAGATACTTAACAGGAAAGTTGGAGCTACATTTTACTAATGGAATAACTGAATTCTATATGATTAATATTCATCATAATGTTTGATACAGTCCACAAATTTTACTGGAGTGTTGTAACAAAAAAAAAAAAAGAAAAAAGAATGAAATACAATATTGTTACCCTTACATTACTCAATATTCCTTAAACAAAACCCACAGAAACTTATAAACAAACATTTGTTTCTATGTTAAGGTATATTAAGTACCTTAAGAGAAATAAAACGTCTTTCAAAGGTTAAAGGAAAGATGATATTACATTTAATTAGGTGAATAAATGAAGACACCAAGTGGATACCAAGTAAAAGATGGGGTTTATTTAACCACAGAATTTCTCAACATAATAAAATATGTACACACACACACACCTAATGTGACATGCTAGCAGAGATAGGTATAGAAACACATATGCAATGGTACACAAAAGAATAATTAATTACCTTTGTTAAGTACCATGTACTTCAATATTTTCTATTTTACTTTGATCTGTTTCATTGAAAGAAAGAAAGAAAGAAAGAAAGAAAGAAAGAAAGAAAGAAAGAAAGAAAGAAAGAAAGAAAGAAAGAAAGAAGGAAAGAAAGAAAGAAGGAAAGAAAGAAAGATTGAGGGAGGGAAAGATTGAGGGAGGGAAAGATTGAGGGAGGGAGGGAGGAGGAAGGGAGGAAGGAGAGAGGGAGGGAGAAGAAAACGAAAGAAAAGAAAGGAAAGGGAAAGGGGAAAGGGAAGGAAAGGAAAGGAAAAGACAAGAAAAAGAACATGGTTGTGACCCATTAAATTGAATTTGAAGGGCCTAGAGTAATGGCCTAGTATCTGAATCCTCACCATGCACATGCCAGGATCCCACATGAACAACTGATAGTGCCCTCAGCTGCTCCACTTCCATCCAGCTCCTTGCTTGTAGCCTGGGAAAGCAGCCGAGAATGACCCAAAGCCTTGGACCCTGCACCCATGTGGGACACCTGAAAGAAGCTCCGGGCTCCTGGCTTCAGATTAGCTCAGCTCCAGCCATTGTGGCCACTTGGGAAGTGAACCTGTGGATGGAAGATCTTTATCTCCATCTCCTTCTCTCAGTAAGTATGACTCCCCAACAAAAATAAATAAAGCTTTAAAAAAAATAGTAAAATGAATCTGGAAATACTACCTCTCAGGCTTTCCACTGCCTAAGCAATCCTTGAGCTGCACTTAAGACATGCTGCTGATTTCAATAAATTTTTATAGATTTTCTTTTCATTTTTCTTCAAATTCTAAAATCTAGTGGTATGCACTGTGGTGCATAAGGTTAAGCCACTAGTAGTGACCCAGCTATCATGTGAGTACTATTTGAACTCACAGCTATATTACTTCCAAACCAACCTGGGAAAGCAGCAGAGGATGGCCCAAATACTTGTAGCCCTGGTACTCAGGAGGGAGGCCTGGGTGCAATTCCAAGCTCCTGGCTTTGCCATGGCAGAGCCCTGCCTGCTGTGATGATTTGAGGATTGAACCAGCACATGAAAAATTCCTTTTACTCTGTCTCTGCTTTCCACTCCCTCTGTCACTGCTTTTCAAATAAACAAACAAAAATCCCTGAAATCTTGCTAAATTAAAATAGTTCCTATTTTCCCAACACATCCTATAGTTTCCTGATTCTAAAATTTTGGGATAATGCCGTTTGAATATTTGTAGCACCTTCTGCAGGCCATACAAAATTGTCCACTTGAGAATTAGTCTGGTACAAAGTTTCTTTGGAGATCTCACCAATCAAAATGCTGGACTCAGAACCTTACCCAAGAAAAGAGAGAAGACAGAACAGATCAACCAACCATCTCAGCTATAGCTTGGCAGCGAAATATGGGGCAAAGGGAGACTCTGTGATGGACTATGTCAATCAGTGGATTCTTCAAAGACCTCATCATGCTTGGAGTGGCAAGATTGGCAGCAATTCATAACTGTTGAACTATCAAAACCACTTGAGCAAGAACCCTGGAGCATGCCCTACATCCAGGACCTGGGGAGGGTGGGAAATTGGGTGGGCCTTCTCTCTTAATACCACCCTTTAAACATGAGGGAAACAATATAGAAAACATAATAGTCTTACCCACTTTCCTGTAGCCCTTGAACCTTTTTACCCTAACTAACTATATAAGGTTGTCAATAAAGAAAAAAAAAAGAATTAGTCTGGTATTGAATTTCAATTTTTTCCTGTGGTTGCCCTGGCAAGGTCTCACCAAATGACACAAAGGCCTTAATCTGGCTGGATATTTCCAACTCCTAAATAAAAGAACAGAAAATGTCAAGAGCAGCATTTATCAATCAGGAAATGGAAGAGGACTTCCCAGAGGCATTCTTAGACTTCAATTCTATGTGCTCTGCCATTTGTTTGTCAAATCTGCAAGCACCGGGATTCCATATGGGATTCCAATTGTTCCACTTTCCATCTAGCTTCCTGCATATGGCCCAGCAAAGCAGTAAAGGATGACCCAGAGCCTTGGGACCCTGCCCCCATGCAAGAGACCTGGAGAAAGTTCCTTGTTCCTAGCTTTAGACTGGCTCAGCTCTGGTCATTGTAGCCATTTGCGAAGGGGGAAAGAGGACGGAAGAGCTTTCTCTTTGTTTCTCTTTCTGTCTGGAAATCTGCCTTTCTAACAAAAGTGAATAAATCATACAAAAAAAAAAAAAGACACCAATGAGATGGAAATTAAAAGCAGTTCCAATATAGTACAGAAATCAAACACTGTTTATATGTATTTTTCAGTAGTGGTTATATTGTTTACGTAACTTAAAAGACAACACACAGAACTTGAAAAATTACTATACTTTTAGAAGTAGTACAGGTTATCAACAAACCAAAGTACAACAGGCCCTAACAAAAGTTATATTTCAATATTAAAGAAATTCTAAGTAGTAAAAATCAGACACATGAAAACCAGATAATTTGCAAAATTATAATACATATAATTACAACTATCAGGGTCACATGGTAATCTGTAAGACAGTAAGCCTTATATTTATTAGCTTTCTTTACCTCTACTAAATAGGTAGGAAAGTTATAACTATCTTTTTAGGCTTTCCTATTTCTTTTAACTGGTAAACGCTATTCTTAGCAAAAAGGTATATCTTTTATTCAAAAATTAGCTCCAATATTTGTAGAGAAAAAGAGTTACAAAAATAAAAAGACTGACTTAAATATGAAAGTCAAAAACTGCAATTTGTTATAAATGTTTAAAATGGAAATAAATCTAAATGCTTTCAAACTTCATTAATATTCAAAGGATTAAAATGCAGCTCTTTTTCTTAGAACAAGTAAAATACTAACTTGAAAGACGGTAGCATTTTATCCTCAGTTTTTCCTATAATTATTCAATTATGAAATCTCTGTCCTGGAATCTTTGTGCCAGTGTTTCACAAACGGACCTAACCAAAAAAACCTACTTATACAATGCTTTCAACAAAAGTAACGTATTTATAATATTTATGTCCTTAAAATATTCTATTGTAAAATTAATATTTCTACACAGGAAAAAAGGAACTATTTAGTCCCAGACAACTTGATAACATCTCTTTCAACTATAGTTATAATTACCATGCATGAACTTCCAAAGCAGAAGTTGTCAAGATTTAACATTAGCATTAATTTATGTCATGACTGACGGTTACTATAAAGATAATGGCAAAGCATCCATTTCTCCAAAGACAGTATGGATCAAAAAGGAAATTTTTTCTTAATTACTACTACTCTACCCATCTTAATTAAATTCATTAGTAATTTATTATGCTTCCCTTTTTAGAAGGTTTTTATTATCATAGAATTTCTCCAGATTCACCATGTTCATGATTTTTAAGCAATTCAATTACTCCTAGTAAGAGTCTCCTTTTTGTAATACTGCTATATTAAAAAAATCCTAATGCTTAATTCCCATGTAATCTGAAAAAGAAAATCTGAAAATCCAAGATTTGCACTGAGTATTAAACATCTCAAGGTGAACACTGACAAGAACATAGAGTCAATCACTAAAAGTGGAACCATTTTATGTCTTTCTCATTAGACAATCGAAATAGTTCTTACTAGCATCCATCTTCTAAGAGAAAAGAAACCAAATCATTATGATCTCCTTTGAAAAATATCTACTTCTTATGCTATACATAAAGAAACAGTAAATTATGGACCTATGTTCAGCATTTTCTTCATCCATTTCAAAAAATGCTCTACATATTTTTGAAACCAAATTGCTACTTGGGATATGTTTCACTGCTCTTCTTAGGCATTCTAACGCAAACTCAGGCACTCTGCCATGAACTGCAGGCAATTTCTGAACTGCAATGACTAAAATCATGCTTCTGAAAGTCGTAGTTATAAATACACTTAATATAAAGGTGAATAGCTCTGTTTTTTCTGTCTAAAAAAAGATAAAGAAAAAAAAAAAGGGAAGAGAGTGATAGTGTTGGTCTACCAATAATGTAACTAAATAATTCAGTAAATACGAATTGCACACTATAATTGGTTCAATATACATACCTTAATAAGTTTCAAAAGCTCATAAAGATCTTCAACCTCATCTCCTTCACGTTTGGTATATACCAGTCCTGTGTCCAAGCTTCTTCCTCTTATGGATCGGCGATAGAGGGGTAGAGCCATTGCCTCTGCATACAAGTCGATGGCTTGATGACCCACCGTCTGATACATGTAGCTATCCAGCTCATCAGACCCCACTACAATGATTAAAATGCCAAGAATCAATAAAACATTGCAAAAGACAAACAGGATTTGGAAGTGCATCTAGGTTTTATTGTTGAAAATCAACATGGAACTTAAATTTACTATACTTTAGCTCATTGCCTTTATGCAAATTGTTGTTTCTAATTCAAGTCAGCAGTTATATGTAACTTTTCAAATACATTTGTATACAACTAACTTTTTTAAAGAGAATGTATTCAGTCTCTTTAATGTATTTTGATTAGTGTATTCAATTGAAGATATTGTTACATAAATGCTTTTCCAAATATTTCATGGTTCTTCAAAAGCCACCTCGACTTACATGAAAGACTATGAAGAAATCCATTTAATAAGTGGCAAATACTAACAAAAAATGTGAATGCTCTTGGTATATTTTATATTCAGTACTTTTTTTTCTATTGAATGCGTTATTCCACGTGACCCACAGCAAAGATCTGGGACCCCCAACTTAAACCTCACAGTGCTGACAGGAACCCTCCAACCCCTCAAGGCTCATCACAGGGGCCGGAGCCCATGCAGCAGGGTAGCCACTCAGTAGGCGACTTGGTACACAGAAGCATAGTCCCCGGTCCCCACAGCCACCAGGGAGCTGATGCTATACATGTCGCAGCACATGCTGGACAAGTTTTCGGGCACCTGGACCACCTTGGCTCCCAGGGGCATGGAGCAGATGTTGACCAGGCCATCGGTGCCCACGCTCACCCACCACAACAAAACTTGTAAACATGTAAATTCAATGTTGTATAGCAGTTACAAATATATAAAAAAAAAAAACATGCTTATATAAGCAAATAAGTAACACAATCATTGGTTATTACAGCATTTCACAAAGATGGATAAAATATTCAAAACAGATTAATGAACTAAAAAATAAACTTGAATAACCATTTCATATTGCAATTATTAATTTTAAAAGAATCAGGATACAATGATTATTTCCAAATACAATCAACATTTATAACAGATTAAAAATTAAGAGCAGGCAATTGGTCTACCAGGCATGCAATGGAAAAATGTTTCAGGTAAAGTAAGTTTTTGACCTGAGGGTCAACAATGTTAAGTGAGCACATTTATTGTTGCTTCTTATCAGTTTAATGTACTTCTGGTACTTCATGTGAGGGGACCTGGTATGAACTGTCAAAACTGTTTAAAGAAGCCCAAATGCTGCCTTGCAGGATCCAAGGTCATCGGAGCGACAACCAGGAGCACTGAGCAGTCCACAGAAACAGAACAGTAAACTTCCTTCAGGACTAGGGAGAGGAGCTTTCTCTGGTCCTTGCCTGGTTCTGACTTTGGATTCCCACCCTCTCCTGTAATGACCATCAGGATCGCTCCAGAAACCCCTCCAAACAAACAAACAAATAAACAAAAAAAAAAACTAGAATAGATAGATAGAGAACAGCAAGGAAAGCTTAGAAACAGACAGGAAATGGTCAGTGGGGATGCACTTATAACTCACTGGGTGGGACACAAAGATTAGTTACTCCTCACTAGGGTATTGAAGATTTCTCTGCACACCCTTCCTAAAACTGTTCACCTAAACTGTTGACATATGTCTGGTTAGAGTTAAAGAGTTAGACTACCTGAAAAACAGCCAGGTTCAGCAAAATCATGCTTCAACGCTATAAACTGCTAAATACTAAAATTAAAATAGACACGAGACAGCTGAATAGTAATCTATAGCCATTTTAAGGTGTATAGAACCCAGTAGTATATAAGTTAATAATTGAAATGTCAATGTAGAAGTCATAGGATGTGGTTCAGAACTTGCATTGTTTTTTTTTTTCTCTCTTTTAACATGTTGGTTACTCAATACCATGTCAACTAATTCCATTACATTATAAATTGTTACTGATGTAATGTTGAGGCTTTTAATTGATTGGGATGATACTCTGTCGGCGCTACCTTCAGACTGGAGATGGTCTCTCCAAGAAACCATTGAACTTATCTGGACAATAAGATGCTGGACTTCATGCTTGGTAGATGCTTCCAATCAATGAATCTCAACTGAATTTGAACTGTGGTAAGGCAACAAGGTGGAGGAATCCACCATGGGGGGTGGGGGGGCGGGGTTGGGGAGGAGAGGGAGGAATCCCAGTGCCTATAAAACTGTGTCACATAATGCAATGTAATCAATTAAAAAAAAACCTGTTTATTCACAAAATACTTCCATTTCAAGGAGGCAAAATATGTTACAAAGGAGAAATAATAGAAGTACTAATGTAGAATAATATTTAAGGACATGAAATGTGGTTATAATATGTTAAAGAAGTTACAAAAGAATCTGATATATGCTTACATATATATGATACATTTATACGATAACACATTTCAAGGAAGTCCAGATTTTTGGCCAAATGTGAAAATGTCCCACTAAAAAGAATGAAAAATTAAACTTTTAACGGCCATTTCAAAAATCAAGCCATCTCCATGAGTCATTCCATTTTGACTCCCCCTGTTTCTGAATCCCTCTGTTAATTTGGTGCTCATCATAAACCTGTCTATACCAGATCCTGAGATCCTGAAGGGAAATACAGATATGGCCAAAAAGAAACCTTTCTGCCTTCCCTTATCTCAAAGTTAAACTGGAACTTGAAACACATACTTTTAAAGTACATTGACTCACTGAACCAGTCTGTTACAAGAAGTTTAAGAATCTCAGCAAGAAACATCCTGATATTAGTGTAATAATTAAGACAATTTACTGGCTTCAAAACCTAGAAGATAATTTTCCTTTAAGGTTCCATTTAGTCCTAACCATGATGTAACTTTTATTAATGGAAGCTACATAACAATGGTGTGAGATCAAATAAAACCAAAAGGCTCCACTGTTGCCTGAAGCACCTCAATTAGCATACCACAAAAGTTCCTACTGCAAATTTAAAGAGATGATTTTTTTCAATCTATGACAGGTTCACATTACCCTCATTGATGGGAATAAATTTTTTTCCAGGCTCCCTACTGATCAATCTAATGCTATGAATCTATTCTTAGCCAACTTTGCTCTACATTGGAGTCGGCTCTAATAGTCACACCCCAACTGCATATTCTTTTACCACCATCTGGGGGGAAGAAGCCACTCAAACAATCAAACAATTCCAACTTCCTGTTGACTTTAAATCAAATTAGTTAAACTCTCTCAATCTACCACCTCATAGCCATCAACATTCTTGTATAAAACTTACTCATTTTTCCAGCTCTTTATTTCATATAATTATTTTAATTTTTTACTGTTTTTATTCTGTCCTTTCATGATCCAGAAAAGGAAAATGGGAAATGAACACTACCACAAGGCTCTAAAGAACCAAGGGTACAAATCAGTCCATTCCACTTTTTCTCAACTAGTGCCTCTAAGACCTAGGATAAAAGACTGGAACATAGTTATAAGGAATCATGTATGCAATAATATCAAATGCGTATACTGGTACTTTTTCTGCCTTTGTATAAAATATATAATACAATCAATGATGAAGTTGGGGTTTCAACCATTTGGAGACCTTCCCAATAGAGGCACACACTTACCTTGGTTATCAGCTGGTCTTAAATTCGCTAAAGCAACAATCTGATGCCCAGCAGCAATGCACTGTATCATATTATAACAGCTGTCCTTCCCACCACTGAAGAATGTGCCGAGAGAGAGAGAGAAGAGAGAGAAATATCAGGCTGCAGATCATGATTCAACATGGCTTAACTATATATTGAAACAAAACACATTATTTACTCAGTTTGCCAGAATATGTGCCAGACTATTTCACAATTAGAAAGCAAATAGTTGATCTATTTTTAAATCTTTAACACATTGAGACAATGAAGCTCAATGGTTAAGGTTGTTGCTCATAAAATACGTTTTAAAATACAGCTTTTATAACAAAGAACTTTCTAAACAGAGTATGACACCTCTTCGGTTTGTGATAGTGGCTTTGCTTAATACACAAAGTGTTATTTATATCCTAGATACTTTTTCGATGTATTCCTTAGGTGAAATTACTTAAGAATGGGTAGGAAAACTTGAGGAAGTTTCTGGGAGCTGCTATTTTATATTATAACTGCTTTTCAAAACTGTTTTGTTTATGATCTGATAAAATCTATATCACTAATACTTTTAAGCTCAAGCTCTTTGACAGGGCAGCTCTTTTCATTTTGCTTATATACAAATCATTGTTTGCAGCTAATTAAGCTGAAAAAGCCTGGGAATAAAGTTTTAAACAAAGATTAATAAATTTATTAGTCTAGTTAAAAAAAAAAGTAGGAAAGCATCAATTATGCTTCACTAGCTACTTGTTACCATCACTACTTAAAGGGCCAAGTTAAAGATACCAATTATAATCTAGTGACAGTTTGACATACTTGAAGGAATCAAATTCTGCAGAGGTAAAAAAGCAGAATGCTCAATCCCGTTGACAAAGGTATCAGGCCCATCAGCACCTCCTTCAGCCATTATTCTTTCCTCTTGTTCCCTTTCAAAGGGAGGAAAAGTCCAAGAGGCAATGTGAAATATACAAAACACACTCCCTGTCTTCAGATTTGGATATTCTGCTGCTTGAGTAACTCTGTATTGATATCAAATATTTTTCATGAAAAACCTACATTTTAATTCTATTTCCATGTACTTTTTGAAGTGTTTCCTATATAGACACAAGTTCATACATATAACTATATATGAGACATATGTATGCCATGCATATCACAAGCATATGCTTATGCATGCTTACTCAAGCTTACCTCCCTAGCTTGTACACAGTTCTATTTAGAAAGAATTTTCTGACAATGCCCTTAAGCAAATTTAAGTAAGCTGCCTTTTCTTTATAATGAAAGCAATCTCTGCACATTACAGAAGAGTGTAGCATATGATGCTTATGTTTTCTCCTGGTCTCTAATATTTTTAAGTCTGTAACTAGTGAAATTTTGGGCAAACTGAATGAGCAGGGTAATTACTCATTTCCTGGGTTACTAAGTTCTTATCTATCTAGGTCAAATAAAAACCACAATGGTAAAAGCTTAATCATTCACTTCACAGAGGAATTTACTAAATAACAGTAATTATTGTGACATTATCCTAACAAGGCACTAAAGTAAAAGGGACTGAGATAAGGTCACTAGCATGGGACTACCTTAAGTCCTCAACAGTTCAACAATGCTCAACAAGTATCCATGACCTAGGGCGCTGAATCACAACGCTTAATGAAACCTTCAATGTGCTTACAAAACACATCTTGTTATTTTATCTGTGACTACACAGGTCCAAATTTCATGAAACAAAATACATAAGTCGTTTAAACTCATGAAATGTTGCCAGAGTATTCTCTCTCGCCTCACATGAGTATGTATGGTAACATTTAGAGGCCTGTGGTAGTTGGGTCAGACACATGAATAATTCTTCTGACACCCAATTAAGATGATCTAGTACAGATTTCACACTTCTTTCAGAAAATGGCCTATGCTACTATAAGGTCACCCCCAAAAAGGCAAGGATGGATGCCCTAAGTAACAGCATCCCGCCTAGCATAAAACTGTTAGAATTTTGTCTCCACCAAGATGTAGGAGACCCCATGTGAATGCACTTGAGTCCCGAGGCAAGAACAGAGACGTGCTGTGAGCAACCTGCATAACTCCTGCTTGCCTCACCCGTGGGACCCGAGATGAAGGGCAGCTAGCTAATTGTCCTGTAAGACAAGGAACCAGGAACAGCCTGGAGGAACAAGGGGCGGGAGCGTGAACTGAGGGCAGTCAGCAGCAGCTGTCACAATCACGCCATGAAAGCACTTAAAGGTCCAGCACGTGGCCACCTGTGGCAGGGGGAAGTGAATCCACAGTAAACCCAGGTCCCGGAGTCGGAACACTGACAAGAGCGCGAGCTTCGGGGACAGAACGGACGGGCGATAGCCCGACGTCGAAACCTCTTCCTGTAGTCCGTAAGACGGCAGAGCCCAACAGGGTTTAACAGAAACGCCGTCTCTTTGGGCGCCAAGGACGGCGGGATGGGACGAGAGACCGCCCGGGAAGGAAGGAAGCGGCTCCAGCGAGCTGTTTACCTGATCAGAGCCGCGACCCTCATGCTGACTGCAGTGCGCATGCGTGCGTGCGCCGGGCGCGGGCGGAGTCCGGGAAGTCGCCTCCCCAAGATTGTCGCGCCGTGGGGCCTCGCCCGGGTGTTCGTTTCGTCGCCTGTCTCGGACCGGCACAGAGGCACGTACAGCTGCGTGCGACAGAACTTGGCAGAGGAGGGTAGGATATGTCTCACGGGCGCCTTGTCCCTGTAGCATGGCGTGGTGATTTGGAAAAAATGTTTTAGGCGTGCCGTAACCACCTAAGTCAGGGCATTGAAGCTATTGGAGCAAGGGCAAGGTGCGCGTCGCGCTGTCCTCTCAGGGTGCTTCGGGATTGGCTTTGGTAAAAGAAGCTCCGCGATTGGCTTTGGTAAGAGAATGGTGTAACTCTAAACGCTACAAGGGATTAGCAAGTATTTCCCTCAGAACTTCCCAAACATCTACACTTATTAGTTTTATCACTTGCTTCTTTGGCCTCCCACTTACAGGACTCAGAGGTGAAGTCCTCTGAGGTAAAATCCTCTGAGGGCTGTGATAACTTTTTAATCCGAGTTTCAGAGAGGGCAAAGTAAAGATGTTTGACCCCCGCCCTAACCCCCCCCCCCCCCCGTTCATTCTCCCGGTAGCCACAGTGAGGGAGTCTGGAGCTCCAGCCAGGTTTCCACATGGGTGGTGTGGCAGGGGCCTGAGGGGTTGGGGCAACCCCTCCTGGTCCCCCAGGCTACCCAGCAGGAAGATTGGAATCAGAGCAGCCTGATTCCACCCAGCATTCTGCTAGGTGACGCAACCCACTATGGTGGAGCAACCCACTCTATCCATGGCTAACCCTGTTGTAGCCCACAAATAGTCTGGCCCTTTACTAAATACTTAAGGAAGTTAATGAAAAATGAAAGTGTGAAATTGAAATTGGTACCAAAGTAGATTTTGAAATCCTTGCAAATTATTTTTGTAATTAAGATTTCGGCCAACTTGTTGAAGTACTTGCACGTTGAAGCTAGGAAATCTATCTTGCCGTAGGAAAACTCAGCTCTTAGAGAATCCTGGAGCCGAGTACATTTAATGTATTCCTTTCAAGAACCAACTACTGTAGAAATTAAGGACCATCAGGAAAGAGTTGGAAAGGCAAAGTGCAGAATTAAAGAATGTTACAATTAAGCTCACTTCAAGGAGAGTTGATTATTTGTGTAATTACAAGCAAAAGATAAAACCCAGCTGAACACTGGGTGTATGATGTATTTGTGGAAAAGCAAGGTGGGATTATATAGCTGGAACAAAATGAGTAAGTCAGGGTAGTAGGAAATGCAGTTAGACTGATTGAAGAGAGGAACAGAAAAAGTGATTGCAATCTGTTGAACACAGGAAGTGGCTTAAAACCTTAAAAAGCATTGTACTTTGCAATATTGAGGGAAAAAATCCATTAAGGGTATGCTGTAATAATCCAGGAGGGAGATGATGGGGCTTACAACCATGATAGTGAATTTTCCAAGAAGGGTGGGAATTGCCACCCTGTTTTGAGGGTAGAGCCAAGAAAATCAGATGGGGCTTAGATATGATATATGGAAGAGAGAAAGCCATGAACTACGTAAGTAAATGTAAAGTGTAAGTGACTTAGAGTCACGCCAACTACAGAGTATGCCGTCAGCTTCATTAGGCTAGTCAGCCCCAGTACTCAGTGTGAATAGAACAGTAATAGTCTTCCTTATAGAAATTTATAAAATGAGTTAACTTTGTAGTCTGTTTAAAGAATTACAGCCAGTACTTTAAGCAAACATTGAGCATATGTTGAATGAAAGAAACAAATTATGCAATGCGTATGGCAAAAGTCCTATGAGTGGAAATCACAAAATAAGGACGATAATAAGGATATGGTATGAAATATGAACACGATGGAATAGCAGAATAAAATAAACTTTCCAAAGAAGCAACAAGACAGGAATGATTGTTATATGTTGAAGAGCAGCGGGGAGACAAGTAGGACAAATAGTGAAGATAATATTAAAGCAAAGCTAAAACTGGGATGAGGTCATAGAAAGCCAAGATTAAGGATTTCAGTACTAGAAAGGTGATACTGACTGTTTACTATCATTTCTCAGAAGATTGTTGCAATTATTAACATTGTAAGACATTTTGATAAACTACAACAGAACACTCCTCCATCCCAGGGTACAGAGGTGTTTGGGAGGCTGAGTATAGCTTCTCTCCTTATCTCCCCCCTTTCCCCAGATACAGTAAGGAAAAAAAGAGAATGTGGAAATAATGGTCTTACCCACCTTACTGTAGCCCTTGACCCTTATCACCCTAAACAACTAGGTAAAAATTATCAAAAATTAAAATAATTATCAGGGAAACAAAAGTTGAGTGTGATCACATGATGACCTTACTAAATTACTAAACCAGGCTCTGTGCTTAATATCTCATTAAGATTACCATATAAATGATAGGCTCAATCCATTTTGGATCAATAGATGTATTTGTATTTATTGAACAACATGTATCCGTGGGTCTTGTCCCAGCCATCAAACTTATTCTCACATTCATATTTTAGCTATTTTTTAATAGCTTAGACAAAACTAGCTTAGGGAACCTATGAGCTCCTGGGCACAGGTACTATCGATTGCTTAGGAAAGCGGGTAAAGGAATGTGTGGGATGGAGGACTCCTGAGGGAGTATGCTGCAAGTGAGACATGACTTCTGGAGGATTTCCATCAATAAGGCCACTGTACTTGAGGGTCACCAAGGTGGCTGATACTGAGCAGTTTAGAGGGAGAAAACCAGAGGACCTTTCTGGATCAAACTGACACACCCACCCATGTGGGAGACCTGAGTTGGACTAATTAGCATTGACCACTGCCGACCACCATTCACATGGTGCACACAAAAGCTAAGGTCTGGGTCTACCTGTCAGAGCCAGATAATAGTACCTGCCAGTGAGTGTTGGGATAGGGGATGGGTCATATTAGCCTGGGCAATGACACCAACCAGTACACAAGAAAGAGCCAGAATAGAAGCAGCCATCCGGTCTAGTCATAATTGCACTATCCTTTGGCATGGATGTAAACTGGGTCTGAGGAGTTCCAGACTGGGTTAAACTCAAGCACCCACTGGTGCTTGTGAGAGCCAGGGAGGATGTAGGATGGACTGGGGTATCTGTGCACATGCTGAAGTGCGGGAGAGCTGTTTCTGTGCATGGACCAGGCATTGCTGGGCTGTAGCACCCATAGTAAGAACTAGAATGGGTGTGGGCCAGTCAGGTAGGGCCACTGTTCCTGCCAGGAAGGTAGTGGATTAAATCAGGCTGGGCAAAGGACCCACCAGTGTTCAAGAGATCTGCCATGGTGAGGAGATCTGATTGGAGGTTGGGGAACTCCTTTGTCAGGACACAGTCCCTGCAGGTGAGCATTAGAAGCACGGCTGGGAGCAGCCAGACCACACTAGGTTATGGTACCCACCAGCATATGTGTGGGTGAGGTCTTGGGACAAGCCAGACTGGGCTAGTTCATAACACACTGTCAGATCCAAGAGACAGGACAGGGTGTAGGACAGACTGGGTCAGGTTGCAACACTAGCGGTTCACATTAGGTTTGTGGCTGGGGGGCTTATTGGGCTGGACTTGGTTGTGGCTCCCACTAGAATGAAGTAGAATTGGGGGCAGGCCAGACCTGACTAGGCTGCAGATCCCGTTGGCAAATGCCGAGGTGAGGTGTTCCATGCTAGACTGGGCTGCAGTACTCACCAGCACACATGAGATCTGAACCTGATAATGGGGATATGAGAAGCTCCTCTGCTGGGCCACTGTTACCATAAACAAGCCTGATAACTGGGATCAGTGGCAGACCAGGCCAGGCAGGACTACAATACCTGTTTGCCTGCTTGGGAACTGGATTAGGGGGAGAGCCAGGCTGGGATAAGTGACTCTACTCACTGGTGCAGGAATAGGCCAGAGTAAGAGCAGGCTGGTTGGGCTTTGCTGCAGCATCCTGTCAAGTTAGACTGCAAAAGTACCTGGAGAGTGCAAGGTCCAGGACTGGGAATGGGCCCAGTAGGGAAACTGTGGGCACTTCTCTAATGGACTGCAACTCACATTGGTGAATATGAGAACCAGGGCTGGGTAAGGGCCTGGTTAGACAGGCAGTGGCACCCACTGGCATGAATGTGGACTGGTAGTTGGGTCAGTTAGGTTGAGCTAGGCTTCAATGCCCATTGATATGCACAGTAGCTAAATGAGAAGTGGGACTGACAGGACCAGTTGGCTGCACATATTGGCAAGCACAGGAACCAGGGATTGTGGTGGGGCTAGTGAGGGTTATTGAGGGTTACTCTGATTAGGCTGCAGTTCCCACTGGTGTATGTGAGGACCAAATATGTGCCTCAGCATATATTTGGTTTATGTAAGAATCAGGACTGGAGACAGAAACAACCCAGCAATTCCAACTAGCAGTGTGTGCGTAGGCTGCTGTGGGTGAGAGTCTGACCCCACACTAGCAAGCACACACAAGAGTCAGGTCTGGGATCACTTCAGATGAGGTTTGTTTTGGGATCTCCCCAAGTGAACAGTTGGACTCAGAACTCTATCCATGGGGAGAGTTGCAGGATTTGTGGACTGACCATGGAGAGTATGTGTCAGAACTGTTCTTCCTCAGTGGCTTAGATGAAGCAGTGGATGGCATACCCAGATGCACATGGGTGATATGGCAGTCCATTGGAGCCTGCAGAGGATATCTAGTACCATAGCAGAAGAAGTGGGGGAGGGGAGGGGGGGTGGGAAACAAATTGGTCAACTACTCCAACCAAACATTGGCAGTGAATATATAGGCAAATGGAGACTCTGGGGTGGACTATGTCAACCAATCCTTGCATTGGTGAGATTGACAGCATTTCAAAACTATTAAAACCACTTGAGCAGAACCCTTGGAGCATGCTTCACATAAGGGACCCTTCAGTGACACTGGGTGTCCATTCCCCATCTCCAGGTACTGAGGTGCTTGGGAAGCTGGGTGTGGCCTCTCCCCTTAACTTCTTCCTGCCCCCAGACATAAGAAGAAGAAAAAGAAAAATTGGACACATTGGTGTCACCCAATTTTCTCTAATCC